TTTTGACTTAGCGATCTATTGCTTTTTTCCAGTTTCGTTATAGGGGTTCTGCCGCACTCTAGGGTAAATTCCAGTAAATACGACCCCAGCCCTTTTCTGTGGGGGATTGTTAGAGGCGATACTCTATGTCCTGTACCCAGTGACCCAATAAGTGAATTAACCCACCAAACATGTTGGTCATTAGGTGAGACAAGGCTAAATTACCAAAGAGTGCAGCTGCCTCATCTGGGAGAATGCCGCTGCAAGCGCTAAGTCCCTTAAATAGAGTTGAGTTTCAAAAAAAGTACGCGCGCCTTTTGCTCGGATTGTATCTTCGATAGCGTAGGATTTTTCCACATTTGATCTCTAAAGGTGGTCTCTCATATTAGCTTAAGTAGAACGAATGCCACTTCCGCTTATTTTAATTGAATAAAATTTTCAGCTTGACAACTTAAATTTCCACTATTTTTGTATTGCAATTTTATGTCCCACCTACTGTCGTTTTTATGCATGTGTGATGCTCACCTACTCCATATCCAGAAGATGGAGATGGCGCGGCTGGCACTCTATACGACCATGGTGAATGAGACCTAAGTAGGCTTTCACTTCCAGTTGAGACAACTGTCATTCTGTCCTCTGGTGGACAGAGACGTTCATAGTAGTCCCAAAACGGCACTAGCCCACCAAAATCGCAGCCACCAAGGAGGGAATCAGCCACGTTGTCACCGTCGTCGGTCAATGGGGTGTGCATACTTCGTAACTTTTGTCCCCACCCCTGCCATCGGATGACCCCAAGAAAGGACGGGAAGCAGTGTTCTAAGTGTATAACAGTATTAGGAAAAACCTTAAAATGAGGAAAAAAACAGATACACCAAGCTAAGAGTGTTGAACGCGACAGCTAGCAGGGCAGAGCAATAGGGGAAACAGGAAGCTGGCAGGGAAAAGCTTTGACTTTCTAGGTCACCGCCTCAGGTGAGCCGATTCGCAAATAAAAATCCGAGTAACGAATAATCACATTTTGGTAACAGTGAGAAAGAAAAGTGTTCAAAGAGCATCTACCTGGAGTTGTTTTCATTCCGAAAATGCCGTTCATGAACGATGGAATTCGAATGCTACCGCCAATGTCACTACCGATTCCTATCTGTAATTATTAAGTTCATCTTAGGACCATCTCACGCGAAAGAGAATATCAAAAAAAATCAACTGTTTTGATCTTGAGAGGAAAGTCTAGAGAATAACATCAAACCGCGAACTTCATATGAACGTGGCGGCGGCTGCGCTTCTGGCGGAACACTACTGTTTTAGGGCAGCTGTAATCATGTTTTTGCACAAGTAAGGGTGACATCGTCTCAAATGGAAATATCGCATGAAAAGCCATCCTACGCCAAGTTCAAATAAAGTGCACGGGCCACCTTCAGAGAATATCCCTTGCCATAGGATATGTAACATATGTACATACCATGTCCCAAAGATGGGGAGGGCGTGGCTTGGTACTTGACTGAACGTGGAGCCGCCTATTACACTTCTGCTGGGATAACTGTCGCTCCTAGAAAGGATTCTATCACGGCTTCATCACTTCAGCACAAGATAGGGTTGGCAGTTGGGCTCAAATAAAATATTTCAAGAAAGTGACACTCCAGAACACTCACACTATGCTTCAGTGAAGTACCAAACCAACGTCCTTCGCCCTCCATGGATATGAACCTATCGCTACCTTACCAGCGCTTCCGGCCGACACTGATAGAGCACCTACTCCACTGCTCCACCGACGGCTCTCCTTTGTATCGTTAAGGGTTTTTTCGTTTTGTCCATAGATGCCATTCGACGTCTCTACCCAATAGCATGCCTCGGGTACGTTAGTGACTGCGATTAGGATGGCTCCTGCAGCTTCCATTCTAAAGAGGTTGAATAGACGAAGGGTTATTCTCGGAAAAGCTACTTTCAGAAGTATTCTGAACAGCTCAATGCGGAATGCTATAATATCTCTATTGTTACAACTTCGGATCGTCCCTTTATTTCATTTTATTAGGAAAAAATAATAATGAAATAGGTCATTCATTTTTTACCTGTTTGGTGTTTTTAAGACGATTCATCAATCAGTTCTACGTTCTGACGTAACCACCCGCCTTAGGCCGCGTTCATAGCTTGCGACCATGAAGAAAGTGAAGAAGTGCCGAAAGTGCGGAAAGTGCGGAATCTGCAGAAATGCCGAATGTGAAGAAAAGCAATAGATATGTATCGATTTGACTTTCCGCACCTTCCGCACTTTCCGCACTTTCCGCACTTTCCGTACTTTCTTCAAATCGATACGTATCTAATGCTTTTCTTCACTTTCTGCAGATTCCGCACTTTCCGCACTTTCTGCAGATTCCGCACTTTCCGCACCTTCCGCACTTTCCGCAATTTCTTCAAATCGATACATATCTATTGCTTTTCTTCACATTCGGCATTTCTTCAGATTCCGCACTTTCCGCACTTTCGGCATTTCTTCACTTTCTTCAAATCGATACGTATCTATTGCTTTTCTTCACTTTCCGCACTTTCGGCACGCACTTTCGGCACTTCTTCACTTTCTTCATGGTCGCAAGCTATGAACGCGGCCTAAGCCGGGTCCGCTTACTAA